AAAAAACAACAACAACAAACAACAAACAAGGCATAAATACAAAACAGAAATAGACTCATAGACATCGAATACAAACTTGTGGTTACCAAGGGGGTGGGGGGTAGGAAGGGATAGACGGGATTTCAAAATTGTAGAATAGATAAACAAGATTATACTGTATAGCACAGGGAAATACACACAAAATCTTATGGTAGCTCATAGAGAAAAAAATGTGACAATGAATATATATATGTTCATGTATAACTGAAAAATTGTGCTGAACACTGGAATTTGACACATTGTAAAATGATTATAAATCAATAAAAAATGTTTAAAAAAAGTAACTTTAAGAGCATTAATCTTTATCCATAGCTTGTGATCATATTAACTGATCTAAAAAAAGAATGGCTCATTAGAAAGGGGGTTGTTTGGTAATGAAGTACACAAAATGGTGAGTCATGGAGACAGTTTGGCAGTGCCCCCAAAACACTGTTCGGAGTGGTCTGAGGCCTTGGGCAGTCTGGTGTGATTGGCAGCTGTGACCCAGCATGCTGATGGATGGATGTACCAGGCTATTTTAGCCTTATGGCACTTCCTAGTTTGTTCTAATTTTATACTGACCAAATCAACCTTCTAAATATAATTTGGCTCCTCATATGGTTCTATGCTGGAAGAAAAATTCCTTTTGAGTAGCAGTTCTTTTTCATTGTCTGTTATTAAATTGGTATTCTGGGTAAGAAGCACACATGTCAATTATGACTGTCCACAGTGTTCAGTCATCATCTCCATGATGTGTCCCACCCTGAGACACAGGCAAAACTGGCTTTCCCTGTGTATGGCTGAGGCCCAGTCTGCCTGGTGGTGAGCTACCGGGTCAAGGCCTCACAATAGGTAGGTAGCTGACTTGCCCCCTGGTATGTTTTGACTTTTCTATGATCTCTTCTCCTCAAGTGTATACACTCCGTGATTCAGAACACACCAGGCAACAGAGAATCAGCAACAAGGACTTGAATCTGATAGAAGATCTGTCACAGGCTATGATAATTAACAGCTGGGGCATTTTTCCACTTGGGGAATTTTAAGGCACCACCCAAATCCTATTTCTTTGTTCAGTTTTTTTGCGTGTGTGTGCGTGCGTGTGTGTGCGCGCACGCACGCGTGTGATCATAAAAGTTACTCTTAGTTATTATAGAAAAGAAATAATGAGGAAACAAAGGTGAATAAAAGCAAGTTAATGCCCCTACCCAGAGGCAGCCACAGTTCGGTATATTTCCACCTAGGCAATTTCTTTTTACTGTTAATTTATACACAATTTAAAAAGCTTCATTACATGGTTCCTAATTCCACTGTAAATTAGAAGTAGTAATTTAAATAAAGGGAAGAGAAAGAAAAGTCATAAAAAGTAGATACAATTTGTTGAAGTGCATAGTGTTCGGGATCATTTAATGGGCCACAGTCATGCACAGTTCAGTAACTCCTGGGTTCAGTCCCTGTATTGTAATTGATACAATAATAAATTTATAGAAGGATAATTTTAAATCATCATTAAATGGTTAACTTATGTTTATATACTTCTGTTAAAAGTAGATATAAAGAGTACACTTGAACTATGTTATTCAAACCAGTTAATATACATCAGGGGTGATGAACCCTTAGCTCTCTGGAAACTTGATTATACAGAATTCTT